GTACGGTCACCCTTGGTTGTCTTGATACGAACTTTGATCCCTATTATTGTAATGGGCTTGCTGAGAGTAAAAATTCTTCCTCTTACCAAGAGACAAATATGTTTGGTGACTCAGCGAGTAGCTAAATGAGGCAAGAGATAATGCAATGGGTTTCTGAATGGCCAAGATCTCCTCACTTGGTAGAACTTGACTTCCACTTCCCACTTGTTGATAGGAGTTACCATATGGGGGTTCCCTTGGTATGTCCTTGCTTCGGCGGAGGCGTGGTTGTAAAAATGTGCCATCACTTCAGAGTAAGTCTTCCAAGTGTTGGCATTGATCATGTACTTGAAAAAACAATCACGTAGGCTTGTCGTGAAGGTTTGAGGGCGGTCTTGTCATCTGCCTCAGCGCAGCGAGAATACTCATGGCTGAAGCGACCGGCATACTATCGTACTGACTCATCCATCTTCTGGCGAATAGTGTACAAGTCATCTGCAGAATGTAAGCGATCAGTCTGGAAGATGTGTTGAGAGACAAACAGTTTCCTTAGTTCCTCAAATGAGTCTACTGTCTCGAGTAGAAGACGACAATACAAGTTTAGTGCTCCACATAGAGGGTGGAAGAGAAGAGAAGACATCGCTCTTTGTCGGTGTGCATCCGATATGCCGTGGTGGACTCAAAGAGGTTAAGGTGTTCAATCGGGTCCTCCCTTCCAGTATAGAGTTGTAAACCAAGCTTTTGTATTGTCTTCGCTTGAAAGGGGTGTTAAGGATCCTTCTTATTAGAGGGCCAGGCCGGGGTCGGTTCCAGTCAGGTATCTCGGCCTAACGTTCGGCCTTTAACTTGTTTACTTCCTCAATGAGTTGTAGGACAAGAGTGTCTTGAGTGAAGTCATGTACCACTAGAATTGTCTTCCATAAGTCTCCACTGCCTTTTGGAAGTAGGAAAGTTTGAGCAAGAGTGTGTGGTTTTTCCTTGGACTTTCCGTACTAACTTCTAGGGCTGGTATGTGAGAATACCTCTAAGTCCCCTGTACCTTCATGTTCTTCTAGGACCTGTCGTTCATTCCCTAGATTGGCAGCTGGCCTGGGTCGTGGGAGGGGACCGAGTCTTTTATAAACCCTTGGGTCATTCATCTTCAAGCTGATGTGGAGGGGATTCTCTCGACGTTGCTTTAGGAAGTTTTGGCAATCACAATAAACGACTTTCGATTCTTCTAACCCTTCTGCAAGGAGGTGTCTTCCTCCACTTCTACTGCTTTGAGTCGAAGCAGCTGGGTTGAGAGAAGTCTTATGTTAATCAATGTTTTAATGATTAGCTCGCTCCTCATCAGGGATACCCATGTCGAATGAAGGTGACCCTCCGTGTTGAGGGGCACCCAAATGATGGTTGATGTCCACACTGGCAACAAGCTCGTGTGTTTGAGTACGCCTACTTTTGTGAAGCGTCTCGAAGAGCTTCTCATATTGTTCTTGAAGGATCTCATTCTTTATTGCTATCTTGTTGTTCTGAGCCTCCAACTCCTTCACTTTAGCTTGAAGAACCACACTAGCAACAAGCTCGTGTGTTTAAGTACGCCTACTTTTGTGAAGCGTCTCGAAGAGCTTCTCATATTGTTCTTGAAGAATCTCATTCTTTATTGCTATCTTGTTGTTCTGAGCCTCAAACTCCTCAACTTTAGCTTGAAGAATGAGCTTATTTCGTTGCTTCACACTAGGTGCGAAGGGGGTGTCATTCTGTGTGCTGTGGCTTCCTTCACTCCCTATGTTGGAGAGGGATGCCTGGTCAAAAGAGAGTGTACCAATGGTGGAAACCAGCCTGACAAAGCAAAAGAGAGTGGGAATAAGTATCGTTCCCACTGACGGCGCCAAATATTGATGCACGAAATAAGTGAAGACTTTGGTACAACAGAAATGTCAAGTTTATGACATTAGCTAGATTGCTCTGGTCACTAGTGTGGATAAGTATGTAAATGGATAGAGACAGGGAAGTAAACACAAGATGTACGTGGTTCACCCAGATTAGCTACGTCTACGGAGTAGAGGAGTTCTCATTAATTGTGAAGGGTTTACACAAGTGCATAGGTTCAAGCTCTCCTTTAGTGAGTACTAGTGAATGATTTTGTACTAATGACATTAGGAAATATTGTGGGAGAATGATCTCCTTTTATAGAAGAGAGTTTCTAGCTTTGTTCTGAAATTGACACGTGCCGTGTTGTGATTGGCTTCTAATGTTAACACGTGTCGCGCTATGATTGGCTTCTGATGTCGACACGTGTCGCGCTGTGATTGGCCTCCTGGTTGGAGGGAAACTCTTCTAGGTCCTTGACGGTATAACGTTGACCGATGCTCGGTAGTTTCGGGATTGATCAAGCATGGTACAAACAACCTTATATATAATTTTATTATTTTTAGGCTAAAAGTAAAAAATGGTAAATTAATACATAATTAGGTTTCTCCTACTCCCCATGCTTTTTACCCTATTCGTTCAAAACAAAACAAAACAAAAAAAAAAAAAAAAAAAAAAAAAAAAAAAAAAAAAACCCTTTACCCTATTCCCTAAAGCTGTGTTGCTTTCCCAAGGAAAGAAAAACTATGAATAACCATCAAATTATTTTCTAATAAAATTCAACACTAGGTATGTTCTTCATCTCTTCATTTAACTTATTTCTTGATTCAATTGTTCAATTGTTAGGTTAATTTTTTTTTTTTTTTTTAGTCCTTGAATTTGTCTATTAGGGTTAAAGATTTTGGGAATAGTCCATGTTTCATGGTTCTTGTATTTGTAACTAATAAAAATGGCTCGACAACAATATCAATTCTGATAATAACAAAATATTTCAAATCCATTACAAATATCTACTACACAACTTGAATTGGTATCCCCTAACCTTTTTTTCTTTTGGGTACTTGTTATCAACAAAAGTGACAATATTTGTTCTCTTTCTATTGCTTTATTGTATGCATGTTTTATTTGTGTAAAAATTAGTTGGAAAGTAATTAATAAACTCATTTGGATTAGTACTTCATTTTCTTACTTTATGTAGATTATTATATAATTTTTGTAGGCAAAAAAAATATCATATGATTACATGCTAATAATTTTAGCTAGACCACCCAAGAAAAATTTTCTGTAGCCACTCATTGGATACCATGTGGCACTCACTCATTGGCCCAACATGTATATTACCTTAAAATTCATCCGAGCTATTATAAGAGGAATTTAATTTATTTTCATCCCATTTCAATTTCCTTTTATTTTATTCTTTTTTTTAGTTCGCGCGCCAGGCGTGAGGTTTTTTTTTCCACCAACTTCGGGTCCGGGTCATTACAAAATGGTCAATGTGATTGGTACGTGATTGCTTGCTTTGGAATCTAGTTAAGGAAAATACGGCAGACCTTTATGGAGATAGATCATATTAAATTTTGTGGAATGTTGTATTATTATTCATGTTATTGGTTGATTAATGTGACTTGATGCTAATTGGATAAATGCTTCTCTTGGGTGTACTTGTGAAATACTATTCATTGAACATATAATGTGATACATGTGAAAGATGAAATGACATAATTTTTTGCAAGGCAGGTGATAAACAGGTTGAGATTGTGTTAGACGAGGGATTTAAGAGCTTTATTTTATTTTTGTACACCTTGTAAGGGTTTTCGGATTATTTGAATAAGAAAAGTTTAGTTTTTTCGTTTTATTTTACTTTTACTCTCGCACCGGGCGCGGGGGTAATATTTTTCACCGACCCCGGGTTCGAGGTGAGACACATACCTATATCAATGACCAATGATTTTTTTTCATGTTCGGCTCGTACATCTTGATTTAGTTATATCCGATATATGCTTTCATGAAGCTTAGCAACTCGTGTCTTATTGTGGAATCGATAAACAAGTCTACTTGGGGTAAAGGATAAAGATCCTTGAGGCAATCCTTGTTTAATTCCATGAAGTCTACACAGATTTTTCACTTGCCATTATTTTTCAACACAAAGACTGCAATTACAGAGAGAGAATCCGTATTAAATAGAGAGAATCTCAAAGTGTATATAGCATAAGATATTGCTTCATTTTATTATTGTGATTACTTGTGATACACGTCAATCCTTAGATTGTAGGAATCTCCAAGAATATAGGAAACCAAAGTAATCCACAATCGGATTAGACTCCTTGTCTTGCAGAAGAAGTACGGTCGATCTCGACAAGGCCTGCATGCCTTGCCAACCATTCTAGAGCCCAACAAGGTGTGGTGGCACTGTTAGTCCTTTTAAACAGCTTGATTTGATTCTGAGCCATTGCATCATTGACCAAACTTTTGAGGCATTAGTATTCCAATCCGCGTCACTCTGGCAAAAAAAAAATAAATCTATGGTCCCACAACTAATATTTATTACTAGATTTTCTGATGAATTTCACTTTGTGTAAGAAAAGTTAATAATAACAAATAGTCACAAACTGGTAATTTGAGAACATCATAACTTATGGGCGCAAGCTAACACGCACCGTCAAGTTAGTGCACAAAATCTTGCCCAACTAACGCAGCGAAATATACAATAAAAGAATGGACAAGTATATGTTATTACTAACTTTCTTATTGTACAATCATCGCATGTAACTCTAATCTATCTATATCTATACTAATCATTAATAGAACTTTCTTTGTCAACCAAATTTTTAAAAATACTATTATACCCTTCCAAGTATTACTGAAAGAAAATATCAAAAAAAACAAATCATGGGCATTAAAGTAATTTCACACAAAAAATTAGGGTATTTTTTTCTTTTCCTTGCCCACATGTTATCAAAGCTCTCTCTAATTTAAATAAAATAAAAAATACCCCACTCCAACTTCTCTCTTTCATATATTTTTTTGCATTTTAAATCTTTTATATTTATATACACATAGTGTGATGGCTTCATCTAATCATAATATTATTAAGAAAACCTAGCTTGTTAACCATTATTGTAAGTGTATATTCTAATTATACCCCTACCCATTACAATATGAAAACAAAAATGGGTTAATTACCCTTGAAGTTTATCGTGTTTCACAAAGCTCTTAAACTTTGAGAAATTACACTAAGGGCTGGTTTGGTATTGTTGTGCTTTGAAAAAAAGCTGCTTCTGCTGTGCTGTGAGAATAAGCAGCTGTGAAATAAAGCAGCAAAGTGTTTGGTAAACTTTTTTTTAAAAGTGCTTTTGGAAAAACAAAAAAAAAAAAAAGCAGTATGATAGTGTTTGGTAAACTTTTATGTAAAACAGTTGTGACTGCATGAAATGACAAAAAAGGTATAATACTAATGTGCTATGACAAGCCACGAAGTTGTTTGCTGGCAACCTTTTCACCTTCGCCTTCCTCTCCCTCCTCATCTTCTCATTCCGCACGGTCGTCGAAAATGGGACCCACCTCCTCACCTCCTTCGTCGACTGCGACCCTTCTCTCAAATCCCTCATCTCCTGCCTCGACCTCGCTGGAACCGGCAATACCAACCATCACTCTCCCAAATCTCCAGCCAAATCCCCTTCTCCGATCTCTCCCCGCCACCGACACTGCCCATTTCTTCACCTCACCCGCATCGGAACCTTAGACGATGATTTCTTCTCCGGCAATGACGACGACGCTCGCTCCCTCTTCGCTCCAATCCTCATTTTCTCCTCCTCTTCCTCTCACTCCACCTCCAAATTAGGGTTTATTGGAACTTACGGGACTAGGGTTTCTGAAATTGTGCGCTCTAGCCTCACGTTCAAGACTGAGAAATTCATCATTTCTAATGACATAGCTAGAGGTAGAGATGGTGACGGAGAAAGCAATGAAGGGGAGGAGAAAGGCGGCGATGAAGAAATGGACGATCGGGTCGTCGATTTGCAATTCTTGATCAACGGATTGGAGCTGGGTCGCCGGGACATGGCAACGTTGTTCTTCCTCCTGAAAGTGTGAGGAATCAGGAGAAACTTTGAAAATAAGCCACTTTTTGAAGCTGCTTTTTGCAGCTTCCACTTTTTAGCTTTTTTTCATCTGAAACTTCGAAGAAAAAAAAAAACTAGTTTGGGGTGTTTACCAAGCACCAAAAACTCTCCTAGCTTTTTTTCATACCAACTTTTTTTTAAATCACCTCAACCCCAAACCATACCTAACACCCACTAAAGTTTTAAATTACTTTCACATCATTCCAAAAAGATGAAGGGGTCATTTGGAAGTGCTTTGAAAATGGATGAATGTGTTTTTGGAACCAATCCTTAGTAAAAATGCAAGTGAATCCTAGAAAAACACTTAAAGTGCTTCCTCCAAAAAGCACACATAATGTAGTGCTTCGTGCAAGACGTGCACCTAACTAGTGTTTCTTCCATGAAGCACTAAAATGCTTTTAGAACCCAAAAACATTTTGTTTAAATCACTTTCAGTTATTTTAAAAACACATCCAAACGAATGCTTCATAAATTAAAAAAAAATCAAATTTAAGAATTGCAATGAATATTAAAATGAAAAGAAGAACGTATGTATTGTTGTCCCTAGTTCCCTCAACCCTCAAAATATTGCATACACCAAAAGTCTCTCTATCTCTCTCCCCCTCTTCAATTCGTACTTGAGAGGTGATGTGAAAGTAGATTGGAATTTCATAGTGTAATTCTCAAACCTATGAGGGATTATATAAAACACGATAAACCTTAAGGAATTTTAGTGAAATTAACCAAACTAAAATTAATAAAATGGTATAAAATTGTAATGTACATATCTTTAAAAGCCAAAAAAATAAAAAAAAATAAAAAATATGGGAGATTTAATGCTTCAGGCTCCTACATATAGAATACTTCGGGCATTTGAACCACTACATCTTGAATTTCGTACTTTTGAACAAAAAGATATCTACCTAAAAATCCTGATATTTCCAAATTCCAGAGCACTATATAAAATCAAATATATACCTTCGTCTTCATACTAGCGTAGATTAGTAGTTGACCATTTTTTTTGGGTAAAACCTAAATGTCAATCTCACTCCAACATTACTATCATGAGAAAGTGACAAAGATGTAACTTTATTTTATTTTTTATTTTTTTAAACAAACGATATTATCAACACTAAGGGAGGGGGGAGTGTCATAAGCCTCACAATGACCCAATGGTGAGTTATTTTATTTTATTTTTTTTACTTTTTATTTTTTATTTTTCATTTTTAGGTAAACTTTTGTTGCTATCCTATTCGTTATTTCTTGACGACATACAGCCTTTTTAGTGACCCAATGGTGAGTCATTTGGCACTCTATGGATGGAGCCCTATCATGCAGAAAAATTTGTGGCAGCTTATCTTCTCTTTTCCTGTGATGTGCATGCTTAGAATTTATTCTCTGCTCTCATAGACTCTGATCATTTTTCAAAGGTCTAGCACGCACTTGGGTTTCACTACTCAATGAGTATCTTAGTCACGAGACTCCTACCACCACAAGAAGATTGTCATCATACAATTTATATATGTATAGGCTTCCAGACAAAAAGGATATGTAAACAAATTTTTATAAGATGACAATCTTCTTGTTCAGTAGCAATACAGTGCTTCCTAACCCTAGTTTTGGGGAGCGGCCTCTAGGTAGAAGCTCATTGGTGTACCTCTGGGATGAAAATTTTGAAATAGTAAACTACAGTTTACAGACCAATCATTCGAATTGCTCACAAACTCTTTCAAGAAAGAAAAACAAAAACAAAAACAAAAAGTAAAGGCCGTTGTGGGTTGTTATCGGGTTACCATTAAAATCCGTTTGATTTGATTTAAACATAAGATGGTGGCAATTGGTTGTGGTTATGATGGTGTTATACTTTATTATGGTGAAATCAAACTAAAAAGCAAAGTCCATGGTAGGTTCATGTAGGGTTGATCTCGACAAAGCCTATGACTTGTTAGCTAGATTGCTTTACCTCCAGAAAGGCTATGTACAGAAACAATCAACATAGCTTAAATAATCATGTACCATGAATGAAATGGTGAATGTTTATGATACCTCAGATGATTAGAGGAAAAAAATGGAGGTATATATAGCGTGTGCACTGTAGAGAAATGTGGTTAAGTTAGAATTTATGAGTTATGAAAGGTATATTAGTACTTTCGTTTTGGTCTAAGTTAATTATAGTTAGCAAGCTTATATTGTTTTTAGAAACATATTAGCAAATATGAACAAAAATATTTGGTTACCAATCATATTCAGCCAGCTCATGCTCATGAGCAACATGGTTATAGTTTTGAGTAATGCTAGGTAGATCAAATTTTTAGACTACATTTGTAAATCATGTGGTGTGTCACCGATGGGAAATAAGCATGTTAATCAATAGTTAAGTAGTAATTCAATCATCAACAATCATGTCGTATAGTTTTCAAAATATAGTTTAATAGATGGTATCCCTAGCATTTTCTTTTTTAAATCTCGCCCAATTGATCTAACTTTCTAATGATGTCTTTAATAAGATCCCAATTTGGAGCCAAAGGTTTTCTGCCATAAAAGTTGTTGACCCTAACAACTACCATGCCTACGTGGCGCGCAGGTTGAACAACTAATAAGCTAATTACGTCATTCTAGTGAATGCGGGCGTGCCAACTCCAACCGAGCTCGGTTGGCAATTTGAATGAATGTGGTGGTGGTGTCGAACAGTCTTTTGACTTTTGTATTCAAGCAATCATGACTGAGGAAGGAACATTTCTCGGCCTCTGGGTTCTAGAGTATGAAGACAAGTTGTTAGTCACTGTGAAGTTCAGGATCTTCAACACCAGGTTCAGATGCCTCAACTATATTTGTGAAAATATAGGTGGGCAGAATTGGTATCAAATTGTAAGAACACAAGTACTTGAAAGAAATTAGTGTTTTGATCGTAAATGTTGTTCGACTATTATAATGCCGAACTTGAAATGCAACTGGGAATAACCAATCATAGACAGGCTCAACTTTCAATGTGCCAAACACTATGTACCTGGCCAAGAGGGCTAATGAGTTGACCTCTTTCAATAAGAAGAATGAACGCTCCTTACTGATAGAGACTTAGATAGATAACCAGTCAAACTCAAAGCAGTACTATTACTCCAAATTAAAGATGCTCCTTGATCACCTGATTCTACGACTCTAGTGTTGTTAGTCCAAACTGAATATGTCGCCAGTTGTCAACACAGTGTCGTTAATCCAAACTGAACATATGTTGATGAAGTTAAGGAAGTTAGTGGTTTCTCAGTATGTAAACATTACTATTCGAATTGATGACTAAACTTTATCTTGTCAATAAATATAACATTTTAAACACTTACGAATCACACAATTAAAATTGTGTCTTCAATAAAAAAAGAGCATCTCTCCAAAAGAAAGTAATACTCTCCTTTATTTTATTTTATTTTATTCATCCAGATGCTCTCCTCTTTTTCTAAAAAACCGTTGAATGAAAAGTGACTATTTATTTGTGTGATGCAAAGGGATGAGTGGCATTATATTATACATTAAAAAAAAAATTCTAATTTCAAGGACTGATGGTTGGCATGGCTTGTCAACCAAGATTTGAATCTTGTGGTGCTAAAGAGAGAAAGTCAAACTAAACCTTTCTTTGCTTGCCTTTTTGCATATCTTTATGCGATTAAGACTAAATGACCCATTTGTCTCAATGTATGTTTGAATAAAAAAGAGTTGATTGCTAATATTATTATGGAAACTTTGACGAAAACCTTTCGGTACTGTTCATTTTAACGAAAAATCATATTTTTACATTAAAAAGTCAATTCTGGTACTATTCACTTTACCCTTTATTTTGTCCTTATCGTTAAAACTCAAAATTTTCAAACCATTTTCATTAGTTTTTCTTATTATATATTGTCTTCGTTAAAAGTACAAGATGTATTAGTCATAAAAAATATTCTTCTCTTTTGATTTGATAGGATTGAAAGGAATGAGAACTGATCAAGAATAATCATATCGATAGGTATTAAACTATTTTATAGACATTTCATTTATAAATAATATTACTGAAAATAATAAAAGAATTAACTACCTATTTATTCCTTGAAATTTGCTTACCTTTCGATTTTCCCCTAAATTTTTCAATCGGCAAATTAAAGACTTCAACTAATTTTTTTTGTGATTTCCTCCTAGTGTAAGTTTTTCATTCATTCCATCCAAATTTATATTAAATGAAAGCATATGCACAACATGTAAGAGTAGTTCAGTCGATTCATTCTCTAAAATAATTGAAAACCCTATATTTCCAAAATGTCAACATGTGCAAATCTGTGTAATTCTATAGCTTTTGTGCCTGAAGGTCTAGCAAGGCGACACTTTTTGTACTCAAAGGAGAGTCACGTGATTTGCATGCGATAAGAATTAATGTTAAATTGATTGCAATCTGTGGACAACTAACGGTAGGGGGAAATCGGCAAAAAAAAATTAGTTTAAGTCCCTGATTTTTCAAATAAAAAGTTTAAAAAAGAAATTAAAGCCAAGTGAAAGTTCACGAGAAAAATTAACAATTTACTCATGAAAATGCAAAACTTAAAAGCTAAAGGGCATTACCACTTCGTCCAAAAAGAAGGAATCTGGATCTTCATCAGATTCTCTCTGTGAGGATCCCTGAGATCTGTGAATCGGGTTCATTCATTGTACATCGTGTAATTAGAAATTATTTTAAATATTTTTATTTAAAATTAAACATAAATAGTACTGAACAAAAATTGATGACATGATATATGATGAATGAACACGATTCATGAATCTCTATGATTTTCATCAAAAGAATCCGGAGATGATCCTGTTGGAAAAAGAAGGGTGCACCACTTCAAAAGCATCAAAATCCAACATGCGACATGAAAATTGGAATCAGGGTGTCCCACTTGACATGCTTAGCCAAAAGAAGGGTGCACCACTTCAAAAGCATTGGAATTCAAAAAAGCATCAAAATCCAACATACATGGAAATTGGATT